ATGATTTGTGTGCATTCTGTGGCTGCAGTTTGGCTTTGCTTTGCTTGTTCAGCCTTTACTGTGCTGCAAATCAGTTTCATTATTTAAGAGCAGAGAAGGTGGAAACAGACTAACAGTTTTGTTTGCTCAAGTGATCTTTTCATGTTCTTTACCCAACAACCTTGTCCATAAAAATGTTGATTAGTTGTGTTCTCCATCTCTGCAAATCAGTCACATCACATTTGTATCCTTGAGCCAGGTCAAACAAAACTGTCTGAAGGTCGTATTGCGATCGTGCTCGCCCTTATCTTTCTCTCTGTCATATCGCTGATGGCCCTCCAGCAGAATCAGTTTCACCCTCACTCAGATTGTTGCATGCAATATGCTCTACACTATGGCTGGAGATCAAGTGTGAATTACACGCCACCATGGGTCTGTTTTTGCCAATTGTGCCCATTACATTGTAAGTCATTAGGCAAAATTTGGCCTCTGTCTCCTACCTGCCATGTCACATCTGCTTTAGCTTGTCTTTTTGATGGACTGAGAAGAAATGATATATTCCCACAACCCAAGCGAAACTCTTAAACTCACACACATACAAGCACAGTTATGCATTCATGCACCCCACACAAAACTGTATGCCAAGGCCTTTCTCAGCAGCCACGTTTTCACATCATCTCATCCCTGCCTCACTGGGGCATGAAATTACCCATGAGTCATTGCCAGCAAGTGTCTTCTTTTCCATCTCTCTGCAACGATGAGGGTCGCCACCACACTGAGAGTCAGTTGGCTTATTTAATCCCCCTGTCAGCTAATATCAAACAGATGTCAGCATCAAAGAGGAACCAATCTATAAATCGCAGCTTGTGTGTTGGATCAGAGGCTCTCTTTCCAAGGAGGACACAAGAGAAGAGGTCCAGGCCAAGAACCACCCATCTTACATGAAGCAGGTTCCCTCAGGGCTTGTACATCCACCACTCGTCACAAAAGAGCCTTTCTTCCCTCTACCAGTCTCCACCATTGTCCTACCCTACTCCCATAGCCTCCGTTTCTAGAGTACCTGAGGTCTCGCATACTCAGACTGCTCAGGGCATTAATGTCTCAGTAAGAAGGTAAAGAGAAGACCTCCCATGTTTGAAATAGAAGAGATGATGAGATGAGAAGGGGACTGAAAAAATAAACATTGAATTACCCGGTGTTTCCTGTGTACAACCTGATCCTCATTATCAGGTGGGAGACGGGTGTGTTTGTGTGTTTGTTTGCGTATGTGTGTAAATGGAAGTGCTGAAATCCCATCGGCGTGGCGCAGATCCTGTGTCTTCTGCCAGGAGACTGACTGCAGCTCGTCTGCCGCCATCCCGGGCCAAGAGTGTATGACGTGCACTGATACACTGTCTCATATTCTTTTGTTGGCTGTTCTATACGCATACAGAGGCCACATTCGATTTCTTCCTTCATGGCAATGCCTGCATGTTTTCACTTAAAACAGCACACCATAATAATAGCTATGTGTCTCTTTAAAGCTGATTACCATTACTTATGGAAAAACACACAAATTGTTTCATCAGATTCTGACAAATAAGGCCAGTAAACGTGTGTCATTGTTTCTTGAGTTATTAAAAAAATAACACTATAGCCCCATTTTAAAGTACAGTTTTGAGGTTTTTAACTTGGGATATGTCCCGAGCACAAAAGAACAGACATCCAAAAATATGACTTACTACCCATGTTGTGTAAACATTTTAAGAACTAGTTCAACAATTTGGGAAATTGATTTCTTTGCTTTCTTGCCACAGGTTAGAGGAGAAAATAACACTCTCATGTGTGTGGTAAATATTAAAAAATAGGACAGCACTCCAATAAATAGATAATTTATTCTTATACATAACATGGACTTTTGGGGCAGATGCCCTTCCTCAGCATGCAAACCACAACCATTACTGCACATGAGCACAGGTGAACAGTTTGACTCGGTCAAGCTCAACAGTGTATTGAATAAGGAGATGTGTAAATCACACGATGACCAAAAAATGACAAATAAACCCAATCTCACAAATTCATTATAAGAAGCTAATTGAATTCCTTGTTTAATTTGGCCTATTTCTCATTATTTTACTAATTGTTTTGAGGATTCAGCACCCCATTATATAATCTGGGTTGAGTGTGTTTTCCCATTATCAAAGATGAAGCTGGAGCCATCAGGTTTGCTTAGCTTGTCTTAGCATAAAGAATGGAGAGGAGAAACCATAAGCCAGGACCTCGAAAGCTCATTAACATGTTATATTTTGTTAATAATTTGTACAAAAATGCAAGTGTAGAAGCAACAATATATTGTTTTATGGGGCTGATGTTCAAAAATAATTAAACACATCAGGGAAACATGTTGCTGCACTGGGTGATGTTTCCTCATTACCTAACACAAGAGCCCAGTATTTGTTAAAAATGTGGCCCCAAAAGGTCAGAATAACCATCGTTTATTTTACAGCGTCTGACGTACGCAAGAGTCAACTGTGTGTGCACGGGATCTGTGAGTATGTTTAACAAATATTAGGGTCTTGTGTTTCATAATGAGGAGACATGTCAACAGTGTGTTGCACGGATTTGTTTTTGAACAACAATGGAGATCTATGACAGGGACGAATTAGCTTATCCAGAACTGACGGGCTTCAATATTCATTGTTGGCTTTAGTGTCTGTATGGAGAGTGTTGAAAATAGTTAATATGAAAAAAGACTGGCCTTATCCTTTAAAGCGGTTGTTCACCTTTGCATGTGTTTGTATTTGTGTGTGGAAATCAAGGCATTGTGCAAATACATTTTCTGGTGTAATGGTGTTTATGTCTTGACCGCTCAAGCTGAGCAGTTGCACATTTTTAAAGGAGTCTGTGAAAGCTTGAGTGAGTACAGCTGCAGAATTGAGAATAGCCGAAGTAATGCCCGTTGGTCCATCACCAAACACTTTTACATTGTGATAGTAGCTCATATGTATTTTCTCCAGGTGACAAAGAGTAGTTTCAGACTTTGGACCTGAGACCTCCTCAGATAGTGGTCTCAGTTTGGGTCATTTCTAGTCCAAATTGCAGTTTGTCTAATCTGTGCATTGTGAACAAGAGGCGATCCAGGTTCACTTCTAGTCTTCTGCATGTAAGGGCGAAAACACCAGCAATCTGTTGAAATATGCAGCGAAAGTCTATCACGGAGAAGTTTTCCACTGACCAGCTCGTAGTTTTTCTCCTTGTCCATATAGTCCAAGCATCGTGTTCACTGTCATTCAAGAAGTTCATTTTCATTGAGGTCATAGTTAAAGGTGGTATTTTAGTGGGCTACATTATATTCAGAGGTGTCTGTATATTTTTGTCCTGCCCATTGACATTCATGACAGGGTCAGAATATTAGGAACACCTCTGAATATAATGTAGTCCAGTACAACACCACCTTTAACTGTGACCTCAATAATGAACATATAATTGAATTTATACATTTATGACAATCTCACCAAAAACTGAAACATTTTGAGCTTCATAAACACAGATGTTAAGGCAGAAGTGTTGAAGTGCATACAGATGTACAGGTGGTCATAATGTTATGCCTGACCGGTGTAAGTTTCTGCAGTAATAGGCTGAGTGTTTTAACTTTGTGGTGTAGGCATAGTTATGTACTGTTGTCCCTTTCTGGATAAATGTTTGCTTTTCATGCACCAGACTTACTTTGTCATTTTAGTTTGTTAACTGAACTAATCAGTCACTAGTTTGTGTGGGTATAGTTGTGTAGCAGAGAAGGAGGGGTATGTACATATTATCCTTGTTCTCTTCAAGATCTGGTATTAGTCTGTGTTGATGTGTGAAGTAACAGAGGAACGCTCAATGTTTCGCTTATCTTTTTAATCTGTCTTATCGGCCACTGGGTTCAAATGAACTGCTTCTTGATTGCATGTGATTGCTATAATTTGTGCTATCTGCGCCGCAAATTGTGTGGGGGGGTCTTGAGAAAGCCTAAAGAGAAACTCTTCCACACACAGCAGCTACAACTAAAGGGAGAGCAAGGGAGAAAGGCAGCAAACTATAAATCAAAAAAGCATCCACATCAGTTGAAAATGTTGTACTCTTGTATTCAGTAAGTGTGTGAAACCTAAGTCTACCTCCAGTGTGTTTTCCTAAATAAGGTTAGTGAGAACCCCACCTGCTACACACACATATACACACTCACATGCTGTTCTTGGTCTTCACAGGATGTAGATGTGATTGTAGAAGCATGACCTAACACCAGCCGGTGTTTGTTTTAGGTCTCCCAGGTGACCAGAGGCTAGAGGAAGGAAACTGAATTTTCATCACAAGAGACTGTCATCTAAGAACATTTTACTCTGCATATGTGTGTTTGTACATCTGTGTGTGTGTGTTTTGTATATGAATACCATGCATATGGGTGGGTCGCGCTGTGACCATCAAGAGCAGATGTTTTGGACCACCAGGTGTAGCTGCTTGCTGAGCGAGCTGTACACGCTCACCCACATGTTAAAATACACAGTTTTTTTTTTTTTTTTTTTGTCTTTTATGCTGTTGTTTGGTTGTCTGTTTTCTAATACACACTGTGTGGCAGACCTGGTATTAGGCAAACTGGACTGGATGTTTCATATGCACAGGTCCCTCATTTTCCATGTTGTGTCATCAGGTGTTGAAGGAGAGTGGTCCCCCACACATGAAAAGCTTCCTGACCCGTGTCACCGTGGGGGAGTTCTCTGCTGAGGGAGAGGGCAACAGCAAGAAGCTGTCCAAGAAGCGTGCTGCT